AGGCCGTCATCATCAGAATCATCACCCTCTTCAACATATTCCTCTTCTTCCAAGGATTCTTCTGAATCTGCCTTCTCTTCCTCTATCTCCCTCCGTGAAGTACCAACAGAAGAAGTTGCTCGAGTGGCCCTCCTAGGATCAAAAGCTTGCCCCGAAGCCTCCTCGACAATTTCCCATGTCAAACCCTCCCTAGGGAAGACCTCCTCAGTACTAGGGTCACTAACTAGCCAATCTGAAGCATTCTCCATGTCTTTTAAAGAGATAGGATCCTTTTTTGGCTGTTTTTTCGTCTCCTTGAGCCTTTGATTCTCTTTAGCAAAAACAAGTCATTGAGCTTCTTTTGCTCAAGCTTATTTCTTCTCTTTGTATACACCTATAAGGAAAAATAATGCATAAGTAACTACTATGAGTTTATGATCTTCTTACCTTTTATGAATCTATATTACAAAATGAACTTATAAACAAAAAAAGCATATAAAATTGTAAAATAGTAAAATACCATTTCAAATGAACTCCAATTGCGCTCACAGCCAGAAGAGATAGTTGTCAAACTCAAGATTCGTATATCCATGTTCTGAAGGTTTGGAGCGCTACTCCCATGTTGTCTCTACCATTGGGCCGCAATATGTGGATAACCTTTCTAATTAATTTAGGTATTTAACATTATCAGAACTTGAAAGTTGAAACTTGAAAGAAAATTATAAATTTATAATTTATAAAACAAAAGTCAAAAGAATACTACCTGGTTCGTCTTTGTTTCTCTGTCTTAATGCCATATCTTTCCCAAATGACATCAAGGAACACTTGTACGAAATTAGCTTTGCAGTTGATATCTTATCTTGGATATGTGGATCGGGAACTAATTTCTAAAGGCACTCATTAAAACCTTGCATAATTATCTCTTTTGACTCAGTATCTGCATCTGCATAAAATAATTTGGGGTTCAAGTAGTACCCTGTTGCATGCAATGGTCTATGGAGCTGCCTATCCCATTTGTCATCTATAATCTCCCAAATTGGGGCATACTTGACTGCATCATTACTCAAATTCTCTGCAATCTCATTCTTAGCCCTTTCTATTACATCATATATAAAGCCCATGGAGGGCTTATCAGCATCAACCAATCGCAAAACCTTCACTAAGGGAAGAAATACTAATATCGCATGCTTTACCCCACGCCAAAAATATTTCGAAAGAACAATATCTCGTGCTTTCTTTCCCTTGGCATCTCTAGACCACTTACACCTACTCCACTCCTCTGAAGCAAAAATAGACCTTAATGCGATCATCCTCTTATACATGCTCTGTAGACTAAGGTAGGCAGTGGCAAATCTAGTGACCCCAGGCCTCACTTGCTCTCTCTTTTTTGTAAACTTGCGCATCATGCTAAGGGTAAGTATGTGACTGTATATGAAGATTGTAACCTCCTTAGCCTTGAAAATAATTCCTTTAATAGTAGGCAATTCACCAATTGCCTCAAGCATAATATCTACACAATGTGCAGCACAAGGAGTCCAAAATATGCGAGGCCTCTTCTGTCGAAGCAAATGACCTGCAACTAGATTGGGAGCAGCATTATCTGTGATCACTTGAATTACAACGCCCTCCCCAACCTCCTCAATACCCTTATCAATGAGAAAAACATATAATGCGCATCATGAATATCTTTGGAAGCATCGATTGAGCGCAAAAAAACTGTACCCGTGGGACAATTTACTAACAAATTCATGTTACTCCTCCTATCACTCCACATATCAGTCATTGAGGAAACCCCAAATTTAGCCCATCCCTCCTTATGAGTCTTGAGATATTCGTTAGTGTACTCGACTTCTTTCTTCAGTGGTGGCTCACCAATCTCATAAGGAGTTGGAGCTTTCAAACTTGACCCAAATTGCTCAATTCGCTTCCAACATTGTATGGAAGCTATTCAAGCGAGCAGTGTTAAAAGAAATACCCGCATGGTAAAACCACCGAGCAATATACTGAATCACCCTAGCTCTATCTTTCTTCTTAAATCTATTTTCAATTGTCACTTGTTTTTTCCCTTTTCCTCCCTTGCCTTTCTCAATTACTGTCTCAGGGCTAGGTGTAAAAAAACTATCTATAGGCCTTCTCATACGATGCTTCTTAGACCTAAAAGCCCTCTTGGTCTTAGAGCTCTGAGTGCCAACCGTGGCTACGTCTTCTTCCCCCTCTTCAACCTCTTCTTCTTCAGTGTCAATATTATCATAAAAAACATGGACCCCTGACTTTAATGCTGCTATATCCTTTGTTTTTACAATTTTTTTACTCTTTTCACCTTCAATGTATTCCAAAATTTCTTTCTTTACAAGCTCTGGGACTTTCTTACATGGGGCAACATCACCTCTCAGACTGGCAAGATGTTTCTTAAATCTATTTATGCTGGCATTAGAAACACGTCCACAAAAATTGCACATAATTTTATTTTTGTCATTCTTATCAGGGTTAACACAATATATCCATCCTGGATCTCCACCCCTATTAGACCCCGCAGAAGACATCTCAAATTGGAAAAATAAAACTCAAATAAAGATTACAGACTGATCTTTTCTACCCATTCTCTGATCTTCGATGTTGGTTACCTCAATAGTGCTACGAATCAACTCAAAAGTCTTCTAATACCACATAGCACCCAAAAAATAATTTCAATGTGAAAAGAAAACTTTTTCAATCCAAAAAAAGTACTTTCGATTCTCAGAAATTACTTTAGATTCGCATAAATAAGTTTAAGATTGAGGGTTTTTTTTTTTTTACTTTGGGGTTAAAAAATAAACCCCAAAACTTTTTTATACAAACAAATGATCCCCTTTGCCCTTATGGGCAAACTTAAATACGATAAAACGCCCCACTGCCCAGGGCGCTTGCCCAGAGCTGGCCGCCCGCCCAGGTACAACCGCCCGTGTAGGGGCGCTTGGGTAGAGGCGTGCGGAAATTTTTTTTGGCCGCCTAGGAGCTGGGCGAACCTTTTTTTAAAACATTGCTGCAAATCTTCCTATAACCTTCTCTACCCTGATTCTTTACTTCTTAGTGTTCCCTCTAAAATATTTGGTTGTGTTTGCTTCGCATATATCTTTGGTGCTTACTATACAAAGTTGGATCCTTAGATGTACTTTTCTTGGTCGTTTGTCCTCTTAAAGAGTTAAAAATGTTATGATCCATTCTCCGGGAAGAAGTTTGTTCTAATGGATGGTACCTTCTTTGGTGATGTTAAAATAAAGAATTAAAAGTCTGTACTCGACAAAAACTGAAAGAAGTGGCAACCATCAAAGCTAATAAGCCTTCAAGCCAATCACATACCTCTGATCCCTGTAATCTAAATCATTTTATCAGGATCGGATTGGCCACTAAACTAGTTAAGAGCCTGGTCCAATCAAAATCGGTTGAAAATGCGCCTCTATGCATAGTAGGACTCCATAATCTTCCAATACTAGTAGAGTGCCAATTCTAGAAACAATCCTACTAGATTTCCATAACTAACTAAATCTTTCTATAATCTCTATCTTCTCAAATATTTAAAATTAACTTCAATGTTTTAAAATTAACCTCAATGTTTTGATTTCAAAATACATTTTGAATTTGATTTCAAAATGGAGTTTGCATACCACCTGGCTGTCTAGGGCCGAGTGCGTAGTTGCTTCATGGCAGCCCATTGGCCTACTTGTATACCATTTGTGTAACTTACAAGTGGTCACTTAAAATCCACGTATACCCCTCAACTTTGACAATAAAAAAAAATGTAATATTTATTTCCAGAAATGTCCTTATTTGATCGACAAAAACATTATGCATGAATGAGGTGATCAATTTGGTAACAACTATTTTAGTTTTCTTCGAGAATCTAGAAAAATCTTGGAAAGATCCAATTGGAAATTGAGCATGCTAAGGGAAGAAAAGTTTTCTTTCCACTAGGCACCTTAAGATAACACTCATAATCACTACCTATTTTCAAACTAACCCAATGGACCCATAATCCACCGGGCTTCTCATTCAAGGGGCTAATGATTGACCTATCAAAGTTAGCCAAGGAATAGGTAGGTTATTATCTCTTCTAGGATTGCAGGTGTACCCCTCAAGGTAAGTTGTGTCCAGTCAAATTCTGGTTACAATTGCCTACCAGTTTCAGATCGCCTAGTAGAGGGAGTCCTCTCTCCAGCTGAAGCACATGATCCCAAGCCCCAGGAGTCTAACCAATGCCTAGTCAATATGGTAGTCATCCATACAGTCCATGAACATCGAGGTTAAGGCACTTTTCCTTACGAGGCCCATTCTTCACACAAGAGCCAATGCATCCCCTAGTTGATAAACCATAAGCCACCACTGAACACAACCGGCCATGGTGGGGCATCCGGAAAACCCACTCTTACAGATGATTCTTGGATCACAAATCCCATACTAGCTTAGTGGTGCAAATCAGACTCTATAGGCCAGGGTCTTATAGTGCAAAATGAGGCCAGAGTCCCAGAGTGTACTGATGCCAGCCGGCTCCAAATCACATAGAACCAGCTATCTAAACCAAGTCAACATGACATGTCATATGCCGCTCTGAATCACATAGAGCCCAATATTCCACTGAAATTGGGAACTTTGGAAAAATATCAGTACTCAATATTTGGATTAATAAAAGAAAACCAAGAGCTAATGGCCTTTAAATGGTCACAAATCCCAACATGTATTATCATGGAGAGTTGGTGGGAGCTTCCAAGTTGATCAATGAGGATGCTTCTTTTGTTTCTTATCAGTATTTTCAAAACCCTATTAGCAAAGTTGCTTTACTTCGTAATCAAGTTAAATTCCAAGAAATAAATGTGTGGAGTAGATCTTATTTTCTGTATGTTTGTATTTTTTCTTTTTTTTTTAATATGTCTGTATGATTGCATTTTAATTTATTCTTCTGTGATTACTTTTTTGACCTTCTTTATATTGCCTTTTTTTTTTGTCTTTTGGTCATGTACGTGATTATTTTCCATTTTTGTTCACAGATTTTGTTTTGTCAAATGCTCAACAAGGGCATGCCTCATACATAGAACATTTAGTTCCCGAGATGGCAGCAGTTAAACTGGAGTTGTGCCCACATGTTATGAGTGAGGGACACTTTTGGAAGATATACTTTGCTCTTTTGCATCCCATCCTGAACAAGGATGATGCCAAGCTTTTGTCAACACCTCAGGTATGTTGAAACATTGTGTTTCTGTTTGGCCATGTGAACTTGCATATTTGTCCATTTTAGAGAGAAAAAATAATCCTATTGCATTTCTTTCTCATAGTTTGTCTCAACTAAAACTTTGGAAGGATCCAAAAGTATACTGAAAATTTGAGGTTGTTGAGTTTCCATTGCAGATGGTGAAAGCCAGAGATGTGATGATGCAGGGCCTTCAAAATAGCGCAATGCTTTATGGGAATGTGGACTCACGTACAAATGACAGTGGTGGCGATAATGATGATGCTGATGGCAAGGGAAAGTGCTGGAGTTTCAGATTGGGGGATTTCTCAACTGATAGTTTTGTTGATCTTGAGGATGATGATGATGATGATGATAATAGTATGCGGATGTACATGAATTTGAGGTTGGGAGATTCCCCGTCTAGCAGCTTCATTGAACTTGAGAATAATGGTGATGATGATGATGCCATCAGGAAGTGCAGGAATTTGAGGTTAGGGGATTCTCCATCTGGCAGCTTCATTGATCTTGAAGATGATAATGATGATAGCTGGACGATTTGCGAGAGTTCAAGATTGGGGGAACCCCCAGCTAAGGGCCTGGTTGATTTTGTGGATGATGATGGTGATGGCATGGAGAAGCATATGAGTTTGAGATTAGTGGATTCCCCATCTATGGGTAATTGTGATGCAATGGAGAGTTATGTGGGCCGGATGGATGAGAGCTACTTTACGGTTATGCAGACAGTGTCGAAGGATAACGCGGAGGTCGGAGATTTGAGTGAATGGCTTAGAGTTGATTGTCTACTGCTCAGCCAAGACTCTTCTTAGGCTGCAAACTTCTTGTATAAATCTCTCTCTCTCTCTCTGTGCATAAAAAAAAAATCGTCTATAGCATGTTCTTGCACCTAGTTAAGCATCGTTGGTGCTGGTTTAATAATTAATATGGATTCTGCTTGAATTGGGCAGGTTACCATACACTTTATTCTATATACATTTATTTATTGGATTTACTTCTATAAAGCTTTTGTATTCCAACATTTGTTGAATTGATCTTGCAATTTAATGAGGGTTCCAAAAAGCTTTGGACATTTATTATTCTTTAACTTAAAGAAAGCGTTTACTATATATGCAGCATGAGCACATTCAACGTGATTACATTGGATGGTGTCCGATTTAAGCGGCCTTTTTGAGCTTGCTACCTGGTCGCTTTACCCCAAATTGTGGGAAAAAAAACTGTGGATATCTGCATCTGGTTTGCCAAGCCTGATCAGATTCCAAGTGGACATGCAAAATGTTGCTGTTTTGCATTCTGTTTGTAGAGCGGTCGGCCTCTTTTTTTCTCTGTGATATGCTGCCTATAACCCATTAACTTAGATAATGCTGATCATAGATGAAGCATCTAGTATCTTAGCTATGACAAATGATGAGCCGATTTGATAAACCAGTTAATACTAGGATTGGTGGATTGATTAGGATCATTTGCTTGTTTTTACTTTTCAGGTCCTTGTGGTGTTGCTATGAGGCAGATGATAGGAGCTCTATGACAAGGGCCAAGGCCTGTGGGCTGCCATAATCTTTTGTAGGAGGGTAATTCCTTTCTCTCCCATTTTGAGCGACTACCATGGTAGCCGTAGAGGTCTTTGCCTTATTGCTTTTGAACTTTGTTTTATCCACATCCCTGTCGATAGTTATCAGCTTAGGGCCAAGACCGAACCCTTCCATGAAGCTCTCAAGATTCGTAGCATTGGAAACCAAGTTGCTAAAGGTTTGAGGGTTAGATGCTTGTAAATGCAGTGTGATTTCTGGTCTCATGTTTTTGATGTGCACATGTGCCTCTTGTTGTAGCTTGACTTACGTTGATGTTCTGTGAGCGAGCTATGTATTGTTGTACAGGTTCAGGTTCCTTTTGTTTCGTATTGAGGAGCTTAGACAGGTAAACATCCCTTTCAGTATTATGGAAGTGTGCCAAAGCCTCCTGCATTTGTCTCTAGGTAAGCATTGATCCCGGGGGCAAACGAGAATACCAAGTGAATGCGGGTCTCGATAGTGATTGGGTGAACTACTGCATTAAAAGATTCTTTGTTGGCGTTTTCCGCACAAACTATATAAAGTGCGCCAGGTGTTGATGAGGTGAACCATGCCTATCAAATTTTGAAAATTTTGGTCGTTGATATCCTATTGGGAAGGGTATTTCATTGACATAGGCTGGACAGGCGGGGGTCCTTTATTGGATGAAAGAGATGATATATCGTTGAAATTCAAAGCGACTTTGGTCTCTTGGGGTTCCTTGTCCTTCTTACCATCTTGTTCTTTGGTGATCCTCATCTCATTACATGAGCACACGTCAAAGTCTTCTTCCATCCTATTTCTCGGCATAAGAGATGGGAATCTGCAAACATCCCTTTTGATTTGGAGGATTTAGAGCCTTATGTGCTTTTTGTTGTGCATCAAGGCATGATTGCACACACAAAGGGTGGCACTGGGCTTGCTCAGAGAGAACTCTGGGCTTTGGGTCTACAAACCCTGCCCACATTTCAGCCATAAAACTATCATTCAATTCAATGACTTTTCGTGCTTTGGAAGTGGCGTGATTGTTGAGGGCCCTACGTGCTTTTCTAAGGGCAGTTCTCACTCATGACCTTTGTGAGCTTGCGGGGGTTGATTTCCCAAAATGAGGTAGGAGTTGGGTTTACCTAAGGGTTTGGCTTCCGGTCTTGGGTCACATTGGATAAGACGTCTAGCCGCCAGCTTATGATAGGTAAGTCTGACTGAGTCAGGCTCAAGAGGATACCTGACTGTCGGTCTATGAATATAAGTTGTAGGTCGAGACAAGTTAGGCTCAAGAGGAGACATGATCGCCAGCCTATGAATGTAAGTTGTAGGTTGAGGCGAGTTGAGCTCAAGACGAGACCTGACGGGCGGGTTATGGAAATGGTGTGTAGGTTTGAGCAAGTTAGGCTCAAGAAGAGACCTGATTGCCGGATCACGAATATAAGATGTTGGTCCAGGCAGGTTGAGCTCAAGAGGAGACTTGACTGTGGGTTTTTGAATATGATATATAGGTCTGAGCAAGTTAAGCTCAAGAGGAGACTTGACTGCCAGCCTTAGATGTGATATGTAGGTCCGAACAAGTTAGGCTCAAAAGAAGACCTCACTGTCGGCCTATGAGTTTTTGATGAACATGGTACTTGAATAACCGCATGTTGTAGAGCCATATTGGTTGAAATTCCTTAATGTTGGCTCGAAGAATTCCTCGAGTGATTAACTCGATATTGCTTAACGGGCACAACCCCTCATAAAGCACACTCGACGCAAAAGTTGTTTCCATTTCGACGTTGCTGTCACCAATCGACACACACATGCGAGAATTTCCAACTTTTGCTGTTGGACTCTAAGATTTGCAGCGGCGTGCGGGCCTACCCTACATATTCACATTAACAGTTCGTGGTACAAGAATATCCTCAGCAACGCACCGAGTGGTGGTCTCTTGATGGCATTTGGACTGACAAATACAACCCATGGTTTGTCTTCACTTTTTTGTGGTAAGTTAGAGTAACTCGAAGAGGGCTGGTGCCTACTGAGATTTTGACCTCAGTCTCTATCTTAGAGTCATTTTAACTGTATAGCTTTGTGGTTGATGCACCGACCCAGTCATACCACCCAATGAAACACGTCAGCTAAGTCTTCGTTGAGAATACCCATACTCAATGCTACCAGCAAAGTGCATGGCACACCACGAAAGATGCCGCAGAGACAACCATCTAAGGATCCTTTTAACAACTTTTGTAAAGACGCAGAGGACCGATTGTCAAAGTTAGGTAGAGAGAAATTGAGAGAGTGACTATCGTGAAGCCTGTGAAACTTGATTCTAAAGAGAGAGTATTATTTTTTCTAAACTCTACTCAAGTTGAAGGGTGAACTCCTCCCCAGTGGAGTCGTTAGAGATTTGATTGTCCAGAAATGTATTTATGATATTATGACTCCGTACCAAATAAATAAACCAGAAAACTAGCACAATTGGGGCCAAATTCTCTCTTACGTTTCATATTATGAAAACAAGAATAATTTTTACGTTTATGTCGGGTACATGAGGAGTTCCAGGAACTTTCGTCATGTTAGAGTTTACATCAACCCTCTATATGTGGTTTAATCAGGCCTTAAAATTTACACATTCATAGATCTAAAAGAAAAATATTGAAACAAATAGAGAATATCAAATACCAAGGGCCATATTGGGGCCCATATACCTGATTATATACAAGGGTATTGTCCATGGATCTGCTCTTTCTCAAACTGAGGCTTCAAGTGGGTCAAGTAATTAACAACTTTATCTCTATTTGATGAATTTTAAGCCATATAACAAAAGATTGAACTATTGGGGGCATATCTCTTGATTGTCAGTGAAATAAGTATGGCATCACTCTCTCATCTCTTCCTCTCTCTCATCACACATAAAGATGAGAAATGTAAATAGGCATGATGAATTCAGCTCTCTCTCCTCTCAGCCCTTGAGAAATAGGTTTAAAGAGCTTTTCTAATGTGATGAGGATGAAGGTTTTGATGAAGCATATATCCAAATCGTTAGCCATATCCACTCATCTCTCATGATTTGGTTTGAAATGACAAACTCATATCCTTGTTCGAATTTAAAAGCACCTCCAGATGGCTTTAATGATAAGATTTGTCCTTGTTTGATCTCGATCTTGTCTTGATGTTTGAATTTGAATGTGTAACTGTAAAGATTCATTGTGATATTCTATGAGAAAATCAAGGAAAGTGGTTATTCTTATTTGTCGTCTATCAGTCTACAAAACAATTTTAACATGTCTAAATATTTTTATTGTCGCTCCTGGTGACGATTCCTTTTATCATGAAAGTTTGTGGAGTGACAGAGGTCTCAAAGGCGAACAATGGTTCAAACATCACCTCAAATGGATCACAAATGATGGAGATATGGCCAATTGAAGTGCACACATTTTTGTTGCAGATTGCAATAACATATGTGAGGATTGTGAGCACAACCACATGGGATTATAGACCCTGGGGGTATATGATAATTTTATAAAGGGGACTATGACAAACATCTCCACAAAATTTAGGTTCAAGACTCTCCATATATTGAGAGAAATCATATAGCGGCGACCAAGCTTTTGCATAGTTTTTATGGCTACTGTTGTAGATCTCGTCACTCTCACATGAGAGATTGATAGGATGCTATATTTATATGGCTGATATTAAGTCAAGAATCCAATGGTCTAGGTCTTATGACATCTTACAGATTGGGAGAAATCACAAATTTAATGACCAGAGGTCATCTTGGTTATATATCTAGCAGACAATCTATAAGGATATGGCTGTCGATAGCTACCTGAAACTTCGAGACGAGGAATATGATGCCTCAAATATGACTTTCTAGGAGTTTCGGACCAATCCGCAAAATATTTGGGGTTGTTAGTCATGGTATATTGTAACCGTCGACGAATTATGAATGATGAGTCAAATGATGTCCAACTTGTATGATTCTTGGACTAACGACATATGAGGCCTCATTGAACATATATACAATGGCACACCTCAATGTGATATCATATAATGAGGTTTCCTTGTGAACCGACTGTCAAACACTCCTTCTTTGGCAGACAACATATTCGAAGAGGTACCATACCGTATCCAAACTCTTCCAATATTGTGTGAATAAACATATTGTGACATTGGGAATATATGATCTAGAGTTTATCTCAAATTCAGATCGGAAGATAGTCTTTTATGACCGGTCATTATCCAAGATGCACATATTTGGCTAGTGACGGGTTCGAAGGTATATCATACCATATCCAAACTCTTCCAATATTATATAGAAAGGCAAATTGTGGCCTTAGGGATATAGGACCCAACGTTTGTCTCGGATTGAGATGGCTCGATACCCTTTGTTATTATTGGTCGTTAGTTAAGGTATCTGAGTCGACCGACCACCAGGACTCTTAAGGTATATATGGGCCCTCATATGGTGAATCCTACGCGCACCATATTCCATTATCATACAAGGAGCATGCCTCGGAATATTTTCCATGAATTATATCTATTTGGTTTGTGTAGTGACCCACCGTCTGCGAAGGCATATCAACCTGACGTTCGTTTAATACTTATCTCTCGTGTCATATCATCGAGCTTATTTGCGTATTTCTTGAAGTGTATTTGGTCTTGTATCATGACTAAAATACACCCAATAAGTATTGCATCGCACGTGATGAACGACTGGATTAAAATAAATCTAATAGAGAAGATCACAAGTGTTTATGGATATGTGAAACATAGTCTATGCGACTCTTTTTGTTTTTTCCACTATAACTCACTATCTGATCATCATAGAGTTCGCTAGTTTATGTAATGAGCATGAGAGAATAAATGAGAAAGGCTTGAGATAGAGATTGTAATTGGGGGATGAGAGTGAGGAAGAGAGATGAGAAAGGCTTGAGATAGAGATTGTAAATGGGGGATGAGAGTGAGGAAGAGAGATAATAAGGCCTTCAAAGGCGAAGTAGGAAATATTAGGTTATGTAGTCATTTAAAAGCCTTATGAGAGCAAGTGCTGAAATTATTATAGTGAAATATTGGCTCCAATGGGAGTGTGGTTCACATTGAAGTATGAGGCATTATTAATGTCAAGACTCACTTGAGCTTTGATTGGTTATGGCTTAATGCGAGGTTTAAAAACCCGTAGCCCTGGGCACTGTGAGCACAACCGATAAAGGTTTCAATGTGCGGTAACCCCATGATGAGGTCGGAATTGTGCCCAAGGCAGTTGGCCAAAGACACTGGATGTGACCCATGTGTGTAATGGTTGGTGTTTGGCCTAAAAGGACAAGGGCTTAGATCCTCATCATTACCATGACACAAAATATATACTACATGGCTGTCGGGAAACGACCATTTTAGAGAAGGGTCTTTTTTGTATACATGTGTCAAAGAGATGACTCCCTGTAATACTAGACTGTGTTGGAAGGACTCATGAAACGTAATGTTAGAATGAGGCCTAGACTTGTCCTCAGAGAGGGACCTATAATCTATGGACTAAGATCATGTCTTCTTCATTTAATTGGCTGATTTTAATAGTCCAATTATAAAACCTTGCGAAGGGTTGTAGATCATGGGAACTATTGGGCCAGTTTGAGAAGGTGCAGTAAGTTGCTGTCTCTAGAAAAGATGAAGTCCTCATTATATTTGTAGTAATCCTAACTCTATGGATCCAATTTGTATCAAATCTTCTTGGATATGTTTAAATATGGTTTAATTATTTTTCAGATAATTAAAATGAATTTTTAAACCTCTCTAGGTATTTTATTTAATGAAAAAATGATTTTTAAATAAGGAAAATAAATTTTCTTGCTTTATTTTAATTAGACAATAAAAAAATATTTGATGACATTATAAAATTTATTTTTATATTTGTAAATTATATTTAAAATATTGAGGGCCCATTGGGATTCATTGGGCCCACCAATTAGTGGGGTGTGAGGCCCACATGGCCACCCATAGGGTGGTGCGCCCTACCTCCTTATTCTTCCCTTTCCTATTTTTAAGGTATGCTGTTGATTGGAATATTTTAAGAAAGAGTTAAGTGCAGAGATTTTGTTTGATTTCAAAATGAGAAAGTGTAAGAGATTTATTAAAATTGATTTAGTATTTTGTTCTACATAAACTGCGGGATAATGGTTCCACCTCATTCATTTTAATCATGATGGGTGATCTAAGGAATGAACTAATGAGATCTCTTCACCCTATAAGTCTCTATGATCAAAGGTCAAAATTAAGCCTCATAATAATGGTAAAACCCTAACCCTAGAAACCTTAGCCTTTATGTTATATAAATTAGCTATGGGGCAGATTCTTTATACACACTCTCTCTGGCTCTCTCTCTCTCTCTGACCTAAGGGGTGGCACACCACTCTTTGATCTCTCTCTATTTCTTCCTCTAAAATTAGGGATTAGAAAGGAAAAGAAAACTGTAAGAAGTGGCACACCCAAGCCACAAAACCTAGCCCATAGGTACTAGCTTTATGCTCATGTGTTGAGCCTTGATATATTTTGTACTATGTTATGCTCTCTGTTGGTTTTAGCTAGGCTTCTTAAGTTGTGAAATAAGTTCTTGAACCTAGATCTCATGCCACCTTAGTGGAGAAGATCCGGTTTGGGGTATACAAAATCCTCGGGGTAACCAGAGGTAAGATAAACAATATTTTTTTGTTTCATACTTTCTTGATTTAATTTCATCTTTTATGTAATTTTCAAATTCATGTTATGAATGTAATTTTGTTTTGATGCAAGCAAGTGAGATTCTTTGGCATTATTGTGTTTTTTATTTTGCTCATATATTGTATTAGTACACTTGTAAGTGATTCGTGTAGTAATATATAAAAAAAGATAGAAAATTTTTAATCAGTATTGACTTACCTAATCACATAGCCCTTCTTGAGCTCAAAGCGGGGACATTTCGATTGTGACTCAAAAGAGATTCAAAATGATGGATGAAAAATTATGATCGAGGGTTGATCGAGGTTGGCAATGTGGCCAAACTTTATGTTGTGCAAAATTTTGGTCTTTCGGCATCCCAACTGCTCGGAGGGCTTTTTCCGAATTCTCTTGTGCAAAACAACCATGGTGGGTCCCTCTTTGATTTTCCAATATGTAAATTGCCAATAAACTTGGCATTTTTGGAAGATAAAGCAAGAAAGTTCATGAAAAATTACAAGGAAACGTCAAAACTCAAAATGGACAAATCCTTTGTCAAATCTCTTGAGGTTTCGTGTAAATTTCATACCAAAACAATCATAGCAGCATGATCTCCATTTTTCCGACGGAACATCACTCGTTCTGGCATCGAAAAGGTCAAGAACAAGGCCTGATACCATGTGGTTGGGAAAAGGTCCATTGTGAGGGACCTATATGTTATTTTTGGACATTGTCCATTTCATTTTGGCCTTTTTTTTCATTTTGCCCAAAGTTTATTATAATTTTTTTATTTTTTTCTTTGCACCCAATCCTCTCTACCTTTAAGGATGCACCCATAATTTGGGGGAAAATTCAATTTTTTTGCATGTTCGCTAAAGAGAGACTCTACCATCTTTTTTTCTTTTAGGAGAGCGAAAATTTGTGCAAAAGATGTATCCTACCCTTTTCAAACCCCAACCTCACATTAACCAGACCTTAACCAACGCTAGCCATCCCCTAACCCTTGTTACCCACTTTGGTTAAGTCTCTACACGTAACCAATACTTCCTAACCCCAACCAAAGTTTCTATACCCTAACCAACTCTAACCAAACTCACTTCCCTAATCCGAACCAAGGTTACCAAGCCCATCAATTAGGGCTAACTGAGCACATTAGCCAAGCCCACCACTCCAGCCCATCCAAGCCCCTCACTCAAGCCTAACCAAGCCCGTTTGCCAAGCCCATCACTCAAGCCCAACTAAGCCCATTAGCCAAGCCATCAACCAGGCCTATCGAAGCCCACCAACCAAGCCCATAACCTAAGCTCACTTATTTATCCCCAAGCGAACTTCTATGCAAACGTGGACGTAGCCCAAACCTTGGTCATCTAGAACCAAACACTGACAGACTCTTTGGAACTGACTTTGGAACCTGTGTGAACACAACCCAAAAATTGAGTGCATTACAAGAGCAAGGGAGTGAAGACCAAACCACACTCCAAGCCTGCAGGCTGCGAAGGCATAAATCCGGCTTCTCTCCCCGTTTGGTGCTTGGCTCACAAGGCTCACCCAGGGAGAATTAGAGGTGCTTGGCTCACAATGTTCACCTTTGGTTGTTTGGCTCATAAGGCTCATCCTTTTGAGAGATATTTTCGTGACTAGGTGCATTCATAGCCTGCCGAAGGATGAGTGTCAAAAGATTTCCAACCGGGCAAAAGTCGGGGTCTTAGATCGCTACGGCCAAGGCCCGTCCAAACCCATCTTCTTCATTTCTTTGAGGTAACTATATACTTGTACTTTTGCCTCATTGATTAATAAAATTGTTGGTTTGTTAATCGCACCTCATGCGTTGTAGCCTTATCCGGATGCTCACACACCTTGGGGTCACACACACATGCATGCAACGCAGGCGACCGGCTGACCAAAGCACTATGCCTATTTGGATGCATATAGAATTGCTCCCACCGATACGAAAAATATGGTCATGATTTATAGCGGTTTAATTGACTGTTGAATATCATGTTGCAAATAAATTGGAATTGATTTATCATTTCATTACTCTCACAGTCATGAATCAAATAGTCACATTTCTTCTAAGGGCATTGAATGGTCACAACGGGTGAAGTTGAAAAAGGCATTGAATGGTCACAACGGGTGAAGTTGAAAGAGCATTTTCTCTCTCTATATGCAAGATTCGAATTTCTCTTTTTGTTTCACAATTTTTGCACACACCTTCAAAGGTCTTTTTTTTTGTGTGAACTTTCTCTGGTCAGAATAAAAGAAACTCTAGTGCTCCAGATCTTATTGTACTAGTGCATTTGTATATGCAAGATAGTGTTCATCTTTTGTTTCATTTTATACTGAAATTTACTTAGAGAACCTAGATGCATACTGATTTTTATTAGTAAGGAGCAAATATTGTTTTGTGATAGTGAAGTCTTCGTACTTAGAAACAAGAAGATTGTTAGTCCATTTATTCTTACCGCATTCTTAGAATTGGGTTATTGGCATATTAGTCAGAGCAGGAGGGAGCTACAACATGATGTCTAGAATTCTATTCTTACTGCATTATTAAAACTTTATTCTAATTGGTAGGCATGAAACCCTTTGACTTAAGTATGTGGCTTTGCCAATTCCATTCCTATCGAGGTTTTAAGACATGTTAACTAGGTAAGAATGGAGCCCTTGAAGTCTTGTGGTGGCTCTCTCATGCAGGCTAGGGGCCTAGCCCAAAGGCCCCAACTGAATATTAAAAAACAAAAAAATAATAACAAACATGCGAGGCACTTAGCCATCCTTTCTCTATTCTAGAAACGATCATCATGAGTTTTGGGTTCTGAAAGTTAAGTTGAGCGCTCTGGTTTTGGTTTCAGAAAGTTAGGTTGTGGGCTTTGAGAAGTACAGTACTAGTTCTTTTGGACCTTTTTTTTTTTTTGGCAAAAGCACATAATTTTATAATTAAATAAATAAGTAAAAACAGTTACATAGGCAAAGAATCAAACACCATTAACTACGAAGAATGAACACCAGATTTAGCCAATCTGTCTGCAAAATCACTAACCTCCTAATAGATATGGCTGAACTCACCTTCTTAGACCAATATAAATCCATGATTTCCATCCAAACTCCATGGAGATCTTCCAACTTTATTGCACCAAGTTATAACATTAATAGAGTCTCCCTCCACCACCCAACAAAATTCAGCACCTCTCATAAGATTAAGGCCCAATAGAAGGCTAGCATCTCTGCATTATTAGCTGTAACAACACCACACGGACCAGAAAAAGTAATAATCACAGCACCAACAGAGTTATGAACAACCTATTCTAGCCAGCCCCGGATTCCTGTAAGAGCCCCCATCAAAGTTAAGCCTATTACAACCTTGAAAGGCTGGAGTTCACATACCTTTCGCTCTATTTTTTAAGGAGGGCTGATTGACCTAGTTGTGAAGATTCACAATAACATCCACCTTTGGAACCCCTTCTCCTTCTTTAGCATTAGAGAACCAAAATCAAAGATTATAAATGATCTTGTCTTTCATCCTCTCAATATCTAAAACCACTCCCTCAAAAATACAACTATTTCTCTCGACCAAACTTCTAAGAGAAAAACTCCTCTGAATATATCCCAAATAAGCATATACCATTCTTAGGCAAACACGGTCAGAATAACTGATCTATTATATCCATGCGTCTAACAGGCAAAGATGAAGAAAAACCCATAGAATGAAAAGCCCACATCCATAATTGGTGAGTGAAGCGGCAATGCAAGAAGAGATAATCGCCAAGCTCTTCATTGATCTTATAAAGAATACAAACATTAACAATCCCTTTTCCTTAAATTGTCAAATATGAAAACTTTACCTTGAAAAAGAATCCAAATAAAAGTTTGTACCTTATGAGTAATAGGCCACTTCCAAAAACAATCAATCTAGGTTGCATCCACCTACGATGATCTTGGAATAAAATGCAGTTAGCAGATTTAACCAATAATGCCCGATCATTGCTT